CCCCCCCCCCCCCCCACTGTTGATTGGCTGAGAGGGCAGCCAGTCACACCATTCTGACCCTCTCCACCAGTCAGCAGCAAGGGTCTGGCCATGTAACAGACTGTTCTCTCGGCCAATCAGTGGTGAGTGGCAGGGCCACCAGGACCCCTTGGCCAGTCAGTGGTGAGAGGTGGGCTCGCTGTGAAAAGGCTGTAAAATTGGCTCTGGGCTTGCAAAAATCCCTTTCACTCAGTGCAATTTAGGTAGCTCCCTAAGAATCTGTAGATCTGAAAGTCTTACAGGCTTGAAGGTAGCGGAAAAGGTTCTTTACCTAATCATGGCCAGTATATGTCACGTGGAGGAGAAGCGGACAGTTCTAAAAATTCTGTTATCCAAGATGAAATTCAGTGCATTTCCAAAGGGTATAAAGCGAAAAATGTTCTGATAATCAACAAAGATTATTCTTTAGTTGGTTTGTTACCCGTTATCCCAGGACACTTCCTCATAAGGTATGGAGGGAGTTCTGACATCACTGTTATTAGGAGGAAATGAAGATAGAAAATCCAAAGCAACAGAATAGTGGGGTGTTCCTCTCCCAGCGGGATGGCTACTTCCATCTCCTGTGTTTAGGTAGGTTGGAACTGAACTTCAAGAGAAACTGTCATGCATACAGTTATTCTTTTTGGGTGGCTCTGATTCTTCTCCCCATTAATATTTTTATTAATTGAAATACCAGATGAACACCAACTGATTTTTATTAGTCAGGCCTATAAGGATGCACACCTCATCCAGTGAAGCCAATGCTTAACTGATTCTGGGGAAAAATGGAATTTGGCTATTGCTGTAACATCTGTGGAATTGGAAATATTTTGTTTTCAGTATCATTAGCTTTATTTCAACAAGACTTTATTTAGTGGTTCATTTTGAACTTGAAGAATCCAGAAGAACTGATTTTTAAAAAAAAAAAATTTTTAAATGTGAACAAGAATCCTTTCCATCTTATTTCTTAATAAATGTTGACTGTATTTAATGTTTTCCCTTTAGTTTATGTAAATTACCTATTCACTTCTTACCAGTTCCTTCACTTTGAGGCATAACACTTTTCCCAGTGTTTGGTAATAGCTGTAGTTACTGATGGCTTTCATGTTTACTGCGTTTAGAGAAGAACAGAAACAACATCTGCACAAGTAAAATACAATAAAAAGACCTAAAATATAAGGCATACTAGTCAGCCTTGGATAGCTGTGTTAGCAGATCCTATGTAGCCTGCCATTGGTTTCTAAGTTCCCACAGACCAAAAGTTCCCAGCCACAACCTTATCTGCTTATTTGATCAGTGTCAATAGGCAGAAGATTTCACCTAGAAGCCACATCTTTTCCTTAAATACTAGTGACACCATGCTTTTTTCTTTTGGCTCCCCAGCAATTCTGTATTTTGTTTGTTTTCTTCTAGAGTTAAACATGGACTTTGGTGTATAGAACAGTGGTGCTCAACCTCTTTAGCCAACAAGCTGGATGAGCGGTACTTGTTCCATCCATGGCCCGGATCTGGCCCATTGTCCTGATCCAACACCCAAGGTGGTTATGCTGGGACCCCATCCAGCCGTTCATGGGGGAAGGCAGTATGGCCCAGCCCCAATTCATCCCCATGGGGTAGGAAGGAAGGAGGCTTGACCCAGTCCCAGACCAGCCCTGCAGCGGTGGGGGGGAAAGCTAGGGTTACCAAGCTGGGTTTTCGTGGGCGTCTTCTTTTTGGGTCCTCCCATCTCCATCAGGGCAGTTTTTTAAAATATCAGCAAATGTCCAGGATTTTGCTTTGCCTCTGCCCCAGCAAGGAGTTGCTTGGGGCTAGGGGCATCAGGGGAAGGTGCGTGTGTACGTGCATGCGCGTGTGCGTGCTTATGCCTGCTGACACTGGGGTTGCAGCAGGGCAGGGGAAGGGGGTGGGTGAGGAGGGGTTCTTCTGGGGCAGTAGGGAGCTGCATGGGCAGCAGGGCTGGGCAGTGAGATGTAGATTGGGAGTGAGCGGGGAGGCAGGGCTGGGGGAAGCAGTGGGCTTCAGGTCAGGAGTGAGAGGCACCAGCAGGGCAGAGGGGCAGGCAGTGGACGGTAGGTCAGGAGTGAGGGGCATCAGCAGAGCTGGAGGGGTCAGGGGGCTGCAGGTCGGGCATGAGGGGCATCATCAGGGCTGGGGGAGGCAGGGGGTTTTAGGTCAGGAGTGAGGGGTATCAGCAGGGACAGGGGGTTGGGAGTGAAGGTTACCAGCATAGTCTGGAGGCAGGGTACTGTGGGTCAGGAGTGAGGGGCAGCAGCAGGGCTGGGGGGACTGTGGCTTGGGAGTGAGGGATAGGGGCAGGGCATGGGCATATCACTGCCTCCCCCCACAGTCATGTACCCCTGTGGGGTTTGGCAGTGGGAAGGGTGGCAATATTAACTGCCACTGCTCCACCACCGCCAAATTTCCTGACCTGTGGGGAGTCCTACAGGCCAGATGCCATGGCTCTGTGGGTGACATTTGGCCTGCAGGCTAGAGGTTGAGCACTCCTCTTACAAAAGAACTTGTTACACCAGTTTTCAGTAGTAGATTCAAAATGGAGCCTCATGTTTTTAGTATGAGATATCCAGTGTTTGTGCAAATGCTTCAAGGTGCCAGAGAAGTTTAAAAGAATCAAACTAAATCAAATACGTTGCATCTTGGCTCCCTTTTTTACAGATGATTTTCCTACTGTTTTGTGCAGTAGCTGTTTTTTAAATAATTTGAGCTCTTTCTGTTAAAGTCAGTTAAATTGTCTGTCACTTTTACTGTTTAATGTCAAGATCAGCTTTGTTAGAGCAGAACATTAAATCCAGAACAGTGGGTTGTTTTTTTTTGTTTTGTTTTTGGGGGTTTTTGTTTTAAAAAACTGATGTGCTTCAAAGAGCAGAGAACAGGTTGGAAACTGTTTATAAACTTCTGTTTAGACTGAGCAATGTTCTGTTCTTGCATGCCCCACCATGATATGTATGTTTACGAAAATGGATATTACTGACATTAAGCTTCTGGTTTCAGAGGGAATTTTAGAATTCTCTTGTCACTGAGAGCTACATTTTGAAAAGTGAATCCTGTAGATGTTTTAGTGACAGCATGCAGTTTATAGCTCACCCAAGGCATTTGTGGATTTTGGGAGGCGGGGGAGGATATGACATACAGCTAAAATGAGACTTTTTTTTAATGTCTTACCATGTTTCCCAATTATTCAGGCATTGGTAGAAGACTCCCTATATATAGAAGTGTATGAGCTCTTTATTATAGTTCATATGTTCTTAATTCAGGTGTTTTAGATGACTTTGTACTTGTTAAATACAGAATTAAAAGTTTGTTGCATATTGCTATTCAAACTGAAACCACTAGAGGCTGTTAAATACTACTGAAAGAAGTTTGCATAGATGCTAAGTAACATACTTGTCAGGAGGGAGTTGGGGATAGGACTTCAGTCTGGGTATTCAGTTTCCAGGGGAGTGTTCTGCCTGCATCATTTACTGAAGTCATCAGTAACTTCTTCAGTTACCAACAGTTAGTCACAGTTTTATCAATCTTATTTCACATACTTCAGCTCATCCTTATTGTGCAACACTATTTTTTTTTTATTTAATACAGTTTTAAAATGAAATGCTTTGGGCCTTTATCAGATATTATTTTATATGCGTTATTTAAATTGAAGCTTTACAAAGAGAACTATTCTAATATTACAAAAGCATTAATCTATCTGTCTGTCCATGACACTTTATTCATGCTCTGATTGGCTGACAAACAGCCAAACAGAGTGTGAAGAAGCATTCGGACAGGTGGCAGTGCACCACCATGATGGTGGGGACACGGGATGAAGCGGAGGGGGGATGAGACCAGCACAACTGTCATTGCCCCCCATCCTGCTCCCTGTAGGTAGCAAGAGTGGAGTGGAGTGGAGTGGAGTGGAGTGGAGTGGAGTGGAGTGGAGTGGAGTGGAGTGGAGTGGAGTGGAGTGGAGTGGAGTGGAGGGGGACGAGGCCACCAGAGCTGGCCTCGCCCCTCCTCTCCCTTCCCTCTCTTGCTCCTTGGAGGTGGCAGTGGGGGGGAACGGGGTCGGTATGCCATGGGGGGGCGAGGCCACCCGCACAGGCATTGGCATGCCCCTCCTCCCTTCTG